ATTCTGAGAGTCACGACTATCTACATTTTTAAAATATAAGAAAACCTATTTTTCATGATGGGCTCAATCCTGTTTTCAGCGATTAATCTCTCCATAAAACGTTAAGTTTACTTAACACGTTAATCGGAGCTGCTTCTGCTAAATTGCTTGCAAAGCTATCGACACCACTCATTCAAATGGTCAAGACTTGGACTTTTGCCAGGTCTATTTTCAAAAAAATCCATTAGTGAGTTAGCGCCCGAATACTACATAAAAGTGACCTCTGCCTACTTAATTCTCATGGAAGGTACCTTTCAAAGCATCGATCGAATTTACTGCTATTGGTCGCCAACGATGTCTGGCTTCATTTACTCACTTTTCACATAATCTACATGGTAACAACTAACAACTTTTGCATTGCTCTATTCCGTTTCATCTCGCTCGTCTTGGACCCCACCACGCGTCCACAGGTGAGCATCGTGCTGACCGCTGACCGTTTGCAGTCATACAGCTAACGCAAACCTAAAACCCGCGGTTTCAACTTTTGATTCAGCCCGAAATGAAGACTGCGTGCCTGAGCCCAAAATATACTGATGTTAAACGGAGGAAGGGACGTTTCAGCGATACAGAAAACGATGGTACGAGGGAACTAGACTGAGTGAACCGAAATCAAGTTAAAAGCCTTTTGTCTCAGAATTTTTTTACTTTAAAAGTGTCTTATGCTACTAAATTATTCCGATGGAATAAATCAGGATAGGTTATGGCATACCATATAACAAACGAATCAAAATAAAAACGACAAAAACGTTTTACAAACAGAGCCATCGAGTACCTGAGGGTACTGCTGCAACACAATACCGTCGATGTACATGCTGTTTTCACGTGGTTGGTCACAGTTTGTTTCCAGATCCTGCACTAAAACAGTGAGAGAGAATAGACTTTTCAGTCAAAAGCTGTATATGTCGTAGATATTTTCCTTCAGCTCTTTCCATGTGATACCTGCAGATGTGATGTTGAGTTTCGCAATATTGCGACACGCCTGCCTGCTATTAAGAAACGTAACGTAAATAGCTATTAGAACATTACTGTGTGTATGTTTCAGACCTCATCCACATTGATCAATTCTGAAAAGGAGCGTAAGATATTCTCACAACACGTACACCCCAATGATTGCTTGAGAACCTCATAGTATGTGTTTGATCGTGTAGATCTAAGGATAAGTAACATGTAGGAGTGGAATTTTGGGCATGTTGGCCCGCGGCTCACTGCATTATTGCTTGCTGCAATCGAGGGAGTTATGTCTTATCAGCTCTTTAGAACTTTCTTACTGCTCTTCATAACTAAGAGCTATGGTTACATGGTGCATCGTCGTTATGCGAAGCAAACAAATATTATGGATATGTATGAAAACAAGCGCATTGGCAACACCTTGGCTAGGATGACATCTAACGAGCTGAAATAGTTAATGCCTTTACAGGGGTACAACGCACCACACTTCCTAGGTGGGTCTTGGGAAGGAGAGAATGTTCTCAAGGCGTGGGATGAAGCTAATCTGCGTGATACCTTGTGAAATAAAGCAAACAGCAATAATGTGAGGTCTATGAGTGGCCTTCTCGGCAGCGTGGTCATGCCTGTGAGTGAACATTTAACCTGCGCCCGGCCGGGGAAGGTGACTCCGCCCACGGTTTTTCGAACACAGCTCAAAAATGAACGCTCGCAGCAACACCAAATTTTCGGTGCCCATTTATCTATCAATGTTGAAATATTTTCAAGTAATTTGAAGGTTTGAGCTAAAAAAATCGATGATCTAGGCCAGCTCAAATAGGTCAATTTTTAAAATATTTTGCCCATGCATCACTTTTTTTGAGCGGCATCTGTAATTGCTCAAACCTGCTATAGTAATAGAAACATAAGAATACCTACAGTTTGCATATTTCAACTCTCCGAAACAGGCCATGTACGTGACCTGTGGTGAGATCGATTTTTGCTATGTTTCGTAAATAATGCAAAGTTGTGCGTATTTTTGTGTAGTTTTGGTGTTTGCATTTAAGGAAAAGAGCACACACTTACATGCACAGCCATCATATGATTACAGAGCACATGGCATTGATCTAAGTCATGACTTACTTTAGTGAGGGCCTTCTGCAGAACACATCCTGAGCTCAAAATAGGCAATTCTTTGGGTAATTTTGAGTGCCGACTTCGAAAAGCCACTGAAAACATGCTGCGAGATCATTATCATACATAATGAGGTCACAATGGTTATGTGAGAACATGCAATGTTGTATGAGGTCGTCCCAGGTCATTACCCTCTGTTGTCAGTGGCGCAAAAGCTAGAGTTCGGCGCGTGTAACTACCTCTATATCGTGATTGTGGGGCTGATGACCTATTATTTCATGTACCAACGTGCCTGTTCTTAGTTCGTTACAAATGCATTACCAAGTGTCGAGGGACAATGCAATAATATATGCGAGAGCTGTGCGATTTTGAGGGCTGGTAGACGCATCAAACGTTATTTCCGAGCAATGCTGTACCGGGAGATATATCACACATTATTTCTGACCACACGGTATTTCTGACTACATCTTATTTCCGACCACACGTCATTTTTGACCACACATTATTTCTGACAACTGTTTAAACTGAATCTATCAGAACGACGTTTCTTTTCTTTCGTAACCTTTGGTAACTTTACGTTTCACCTAATGTCAATGCTTTGGTGAGCATTCTTCATGATTTGACAAAGCCTTCACAACGGTATCTTGTTTTTTATACAAATTTGACCCCCGGCCGGGCGTATCTTAACACGCGCTCGGGTGGGGGTCAAATTGACCCCCCGAAGGTTTTTCCAGAATGGTTTCCGAACGACGTGGCGCAGCCGCGCCAAATTTTGCATGGCTGTAGACAATTAAATAGCAGATTGTTTGGCATCATGAATTTAGATTTGCCTTGTAGGGTCGCTGACCTATGGCAGGTCAAAATCAGGCCATGGTTTCAGCGAAGGCAATTTCTGGGGAATCCTTCAATCTGATCTAACAACGGACTGTTAGATGAAGCCATATATCTCTGAGGTGCTTTCTTAGGCAACACAACAGTTGAATGAGCATATTACATTCATCTAAGGCCAGGTATGAAGGTCACACCAAGGTCAAAACCAACCTGTTTTGTTACTCTAGGGCCTGCTGCATGTGACAGTTTCTGGTGCTCATTTCGAATTTATTGATAGCAGGAATCACATTATGCATTATCCATGGACTTCTTAGATGTCAGAATAGGTCATTGACCTAAAATGGCCCAAGTCAACATTTTGTTTTAGGAACATACTGCCTAGCGTAATCTTTGTCGCTTATTCAAATGCAAAACTGAAAGCAATCTTGTATGATTTTGATCACCTTGACCTTTAAAAGGTCAAACAAGGTCACTGACCTTAAATGAGCATGTGACCTTCTGCTTAGAAACGGTTATCTAGGTTCTGGGAGCACTTTGGAGACCGGCCTGGAACTTGATTTTGTTTGACCTTCTTTAACCCAAAGGTCATCACCTAGGAATCTGAAACTTGCACCTAAGTGAGTTCATGTACAGATCAACACACCCTGTAAATTTAGTATTTCTAGCTTTCTTAGTTCCCGAGTTCTTAGGGGGGTCAAATTGACCCCTTACCCGAGCGAAGGCCATCTAGCCGGCCACCCGGGCGCGTGGTAAGACTAATCTGCAATGTGCAGTTGATCACAGCCACTATCCCGGAGTTAGCACGCGCTCGGGTGGGGTTTAAACTGCAGGTTTAAGGGTTTTCTAAAGTGGTTTCCGAAAGCGTAACCACGCCAAATTTTGCATAGCTATAGACAATTGAATAGCGGATAGTGTGATATCAACAAATGTGGCGTACCTTGAAAGGTCGCTAGCGTGCGGCAGGTCAAAGTCAGGACATGGATTCAGCGAGTTCGATTTCTAGGGGAACCCTTTAATCTGATGGAACAACTGAGTGTTAAACGAAGCCATGCATCCCTGAGATACTTTCTTAGACAACCAAACAATTGAATGACCAAATTCCATTGACGTAAAGTCAGGTATGAAGGTCGGACCAACGTCAAAACCGACCTGTTTTATTGCTCTAGGACCTGCCGTATGGGGTTGGCTTCTGTTGCATAATTCGAACTGATTGATGACAGTAACCGCATTAGACATCTTTCACGGACTTCTTATAGATCAGAATAGGTCACTGACTTAATATTACCCAGGTCAAAATTTCGTTATTAGGAATATGCTGCCTAGCGCAATCTTTGCCGCTTATTCACAAAGCAAAAACGCAAAGCATTCTTCTATGATTCGGGTCACCATGACCTTCGAAAGGTCAAGCAAGGTCACTGACCTTGAATGAAAATGCGGCCTTCTGCTTAGGGCAGGTATCTAGGATCTGGGGACACTGGGTACAAACTTGGAGCTTCACCTTATTTCACCTTATTTGACCCGAAGATCATGACTTAAGATCCCCAAAGTTTTGTCTAAGTAAGTTTACGTAGAGGTCAATACAAGCTGATAATTTTACGTCTCTAGCTCTCTTAGTTCTTGGGATTTTAGGGAGATCAAATTGATCCCCCGAGCGAAGGGTATCCACTCGACTGTCCGGGCGCGTGATAAAACACGATTTACCTAGCAAGTGATCTCCGGCGCGTTACAAAGCCAGGGTGGTGGACGTGGCACTGCTTAAATGTATTAAAGCTGTAACTATCCGTCCGCATTGGCTCATATTATGGACGCAAGTATTGTCGTAAGCCATTGCCTTCATGATGCGTTCTCCCAGAGCAGCCAATAAGTGAATTCGTTTACCGCGATTGAAGTTAAATCCGCTCCAGTCTAGCTTTGTCACTCGTTCTGATTCATTTGATTCGCTGCTGTGTGTGGCTCCTTTCACCGCCACTGTCGCAGTGTCTGGGATAGTGCTTCAGCGCATCGCAGGCGCACTCCCCATCAGCTTCCGCAATGGCACTGCCTCCGCGTCACTGGCCGCTGCTGTGTTTCAGCGGTGCTGGAGCCCCGGGCGCTGCCCGTCTCCAGCGTCGGGAGCCCAGCTGCGCCTGCCGACAGTCCAGCCCCGCAGTCCGGCGCCGCTGGCCGGCAGGAGGCGGACAAGGCGGCCAACAGCTCCGCCGCGCCGGCATGTGACCTCGCCTGCGTGTCCGGCCAGTGTGTGCGCGAGGTCGGCGGTCGGGAGGAGGTGGAGCTGCGCTGTGCCTGTCCGCTCGGTCTAGGCGGTGACCTCTGCCAGTCAGGTGAGCTGGAGCGGTGACCGCTGTCAGTCAGGTGAGCTGGAGCGATGACCGCTGTCAGTCAGGTGAGCTGGAGCGATGACCGCTGTCAGTCAGATGAGCTGGAGCGATGACCGCTGCCAGTCTGGTGCGCTGGAGCGATGACCGCTGTCAGTCAATTGAGCTGGAGCGGTGACCCGTGCCAGTCAGGCTAGCTGGAGCGATGGCGTTTGTCATTCAGCTGAGCTGGAGCCCGCGCCAAGGCCCGCGCTCACCGCTCTGACCCTATGACGACCTGCCTGACGTCCGACGGCCGCCTGCTCCGCCGGCAGCGCTGGAGGTGCACTCGCCGCGCTTCTCGGGCGCCAGCTTCGCGCAGCTGCCGCCGCCGGTGGAGGCGCACACGGACATGCGGCTGACGCTGGAGTTCAGGCCCGAGGACTGGGACGGCCTGCTGCTGATGAGCGGCGAGACGGCCGACCTGGCCGGCGACTTCATGGCCGTCGTGCTCACCGACGGCTTCGTCGAGTTCAGGTGGGCGGTGGCGCCAGTGTCAGACTGGCAGCGCCCGGGTGACCCCGCAGGCTTCGGGCTGGGCATGCGGTGCAGCCCAAGTGTTGGAAGCATGCCGTGTCGTTCACAGTCTCAGGCTTTGTGTAGGGCCCAGGGCAATATACTCACACTTATCCGTGTGCAATGTGAGCCGTAAAGACTGAAGGGTGATGTCGACACCGGCCTTTTTAGCGTGTTTTTAACGCCACCCGATTATTATATCAGTCCTCTTCAACCATTCGGTACGAATATAATTTACCCCGTAGCAGCAGCGCGTGGTTGATCTTACGCATAGTATATGTTCTGCATACGCCGTTTAGATTTAACAAATCCCTGAAGGCATGAGGCGTCACAATCCGCTGAGCGAGCACGCTCTGAATCCGAGTGATGCGCCTGGTAAGCGTTGCAGATGAAATGCCCATGTCGAGACATCCGGGCAATGGAAACAGATGACTCCCACGGGCCTCTTGAAAATGGTGCCTGAATTCCGGTGCCGCCAGTGTGGCCGCCAGCCGCGCCAGTCTTATCACAACTGGGTATATATTTTAAACTTCAGCGGTCTTGTGTCGCCGTATTAACATCTGTCTGTCATGCCGGCTAACAGTGTAAGATAGCCACACTGTATAGAAGCTCAGTGGTTTTAACGAACAATTTCTGCATAATATGAGAGGAGCTTCACAAGCACATTGTCGAGCCACCAAGATGAGTTTGTCTTTCCAAAACGTTAGTTACAAATGCTTAATGGTGATATACACGCTAAGATATTGTGAATGGATTGCAAGCTCTACAGCACTTGTGTAGCGACCGAAAAACTCTTCACAATTCCACGGCCTATTCCGACATCACTAAGTACGTGTCGCAAATGATTACGCTGGAAACGAAATATGGAAAGGTGTGTCCTGCACTGCTAACGTTTGCTTTACAAGTAGCTACAAAAACTTTAACGCGTAGGAGTTAACAAAGCTGAACAGGATAACTGGCTCTGCTCGGCTCTTGCGCTTCGTTATGGGGTCCGCAATGATTATTGCTTTCCTTCCAAAAAGATAGTAATTTTCCTCAGTCCGGTTCACACTATGCTCTGCCGCGCCCCCATCTCGTCTAATGCACGCCTCTCAAGGTCTCAGCCAGTCGCTTATCTCGGATGGCGGAGTCGAATAATGAACGAGGCACGGTACGGCGTGCGGCCAAAGCTGGCAGCTTGCCCTCGGGCCGAGGTACCCCTACACAGAGTCTGGAACGAGGGCAGTTGCCGTGACTTGGTAGTGCACCGGCAACGCTTTGCGTCCGATTGTCGTCTTGCTCCCTGCAGTCGGTGATGCCCGAGCAAAATTTGTTGTCTATTCCGTTTTTTCTAACTGAGTCAAATGCCAGCTTTATGTGTAATGCAAAGTATGCCAGTACAAATATAGACAGACTTAAATGCTGTTAAGATGAATGGAGTAGCCTTACTACGTTCTTGTTTGCACTGGTATGGCACATAGCCACCTATACCTAGGATTTGTTTACTTTGGAACTATGCAACAGCTCCACAGCTCCCCCAGTAGATCTGAGGTGCGTTGAGGTTGGGATGGGAGGTGGGGGTGGGGATAGGGGGGGGGGGGGGAGGGCCGAAGCAGTGAATTCAGCCCGAAAAAAAACAAAGGAATGATCAGCTATGCACGGGATTGCTAGAAAAATAGTTTGCTCTGTTGTCTGAGTTTTTAAGGTTGCCAAAACAACTAGCTCTGAACTGGCTCCAGTGCATTCCACTTCATGGTTTAGTAATCGAGTGCGGTGTGCACTGGTGGAACACGCATTTGGAAAATGCTGACGTCTGCCGATATGTCACAGTCCGACTGGTGTCCAAATTGACGGCCGCCTTAAATCTTGTTTGCGAGGCAATTTGTTAGTCTTATACCACTGGCCCGGTCACATGTTCGGCTTTGGGAAGTGATCCTATAAACGGCCTCCATGATTTCGGTCATTTTAGAGCATCATTCAGTTGTTGCACAACCGAGGCACTGCGGGTTAGGATTCAATCAATACACATAAAGCTTTACCCAAATTGGTTTGCTGCGATAAATATGCGTTATCATCAAGATTAGTCTGGACGTCCAGCACGTTTTAAAAACAATTGAGATTATTAAGCTGACCAATGCTTGGGCTTGAGCTGCTTGCCGGGACACCGCCGTTTAAGTCTGTCATATCCATATCAACATGCAATTTATACTATCCAAATCAATAAGTTCGATTGCACTTGGTGCGGTGCAGTGCTACACGGGGCCGAATGTACGTGGCACGGTTGAGCATCGGGTATGTATGGTGCGGTGCGGTGCTACATGGGGCTGAATGTATAAAATAAAGAACAAGATTAAAGCTCAATACAGTGAGCTCGGGGATCGCCCGGCGCACTCCTCGAGATGTCTGCTAATCTTATGTTCTGTTGCTTCACCATATTCCATTGTGTGTCACGATGATCTCTGTCATCTCTGCCATCACGATCTCCCGACCTCGCCCGAGCATTGCCCACTTCTTTTCCACCCTTCCCCCTCCCGATCCACGTCACGCCCTGCCTGCCGCGGGGGCAGACCACCGTGCCGATGAGACATCTGCGTGCCCCCCCCACAACCCCTCCCCCGATCTACGTCACGCTCCGTCATGGCGCGGGGGAGACCACCTTTCCGATGAGCTCTCTGCGTGCCCCCCCCACCCCTCTCCAGAAAACATGTATGCTCTGCCGCGAGGAGCAGACCCGTGGCCGATGAGACCTCTGCGTGCCACCCCCCCCCCCCCTCCCCCGTCTTAACATCATGCTCTGCCTGCCGCGGGGCAGACCACCGTCCGATAGCTCCCTGGTGCCCCCCCTCCCCCTCCCCTCCCCCGGATTCACGTCACGCATGTCACGTGCCGCCAGGTTCGACTGCGGCTCGGGCCTGGGCGTGGTGCGGTCCCGGGAGCCCGTGCTGCTGGACCGCTGGAACCGGCTCACGCTCATCCGCACGCGCTCCTACGTCTGGATGCAGCTCAACAACGGCCAGCACACCGAGGGCATGTCCCAGGTAACGGCCAGCACACGGAGGGCATGTCCCAGGTAACGGCCAGCACACGGACGGCATGTCCCAGGTAACGGCCAGCACACGGACGGCATGTCCCAGGTAACGGCCAGCACACCGAGGGCATGTCCCAGGTAACGGCCAGCACACCGAGGGCATGTCCCAGGTAACGGCCAGCACACGGACGGCATGTCCCAGGTAACGGCCAGCACACGGACGGCATGTCCCAGGTAACGGCCAGCACACCGAGGGCATGTCCCAGGTAACGGCCAGCACACCGAGGGCATGTCCCAGGTAACAGGCCTCGACCCAGGGTGACCCTGGTCTGGTGACCCTGGCCCTGACGAGGCGCCCGTGGCCCTTGGAACGGTCCTGACGTCGTGTAGGCTCGCAATGAATCCAGCCATGCGTGCGGAACGCACATGGCTTTCGGTCGCCCGTCGGCAGTGAGCTACGCTGCAGTAAAGTACGACAGTGCTGTGGGACGGCAGACTGACACAGGGTTTGGCGATGGCCTTTGCTTTGCCGTGTGCTGACCAAAAGGCTCGACGCATCCCACATCTACTGGTGATCACAAAGTGCGACATTTTCTGTAGGCCTGCAGCGCACTATTATTTGTGGGTTTCAATGCGAATGCTGTGCTATGTGAATTGTTCTGTTCGCGTGGTGCTACAACTCTCCGTTCGTTCCAGCGTTTTGTACGATGAACTAAAGGAATGACTCATATTTTTATGTTATCGTTATGAGCGTTCAGCCGGGGTAAACTAACGAATCCAAGTCTAATTGATAACATGCCTAGGTCGTCTGAACTCGATATGTCTCCACAACCTGACGGCGATGACCAGAAGCGATGTGACGACCCAACGCGACCCCGAGAGATGATGAGACCAATCAGAGGTGTTTGACGTCACTGGTGACGTCAGATCTGCTTTTGAGGCAGCTCGTCTCAGCGTCGGCTGCGCTGTATTAAGCACGCCAAGATCATGTGGTTTCCATCTGTTGCGATAACGGCTTCATTATTGTTACACGTAACAGTCTGTTAGTTATACAAATATGAACACGGCACATTTTAATTCACGCCTTCTCCCAAGAGGTAGCCATTTTGAAATTTATTTCTCGGCTGTTCCTCGAAACATCATTCTGTGCGACTTAACATTGATAGCATTACTTCTGTAGCCTTTTTAATTTAAATGAAGCTCCAGATACTCCGAGTCAAGGCTGATGCACAACGTCCGTGCTATCACATTGCCTGTTGAATTATTGCGGTAAAATTGTATGTTTTATATTGCCCTGCTGGAGTGGGAGCGTCAGGAAGTTTTTCACCAGCTGCAATTAGGAAAGACTCTTGTCTCATAGTCATTCCTCTCGCAAAACATCCGTTAGATATGTTTATATTTCACCTCACCATACTTTTTGTGAGTTAGACCATAATGAGGATCCCATGCTGTTTATTTGTTTTCTTCATTGCTTCGTTCGATCGTGGTGTGGTACAACGTTTGTAGGGCGTCGTGTTTTTTGCTCAACTTCGTGCCGCTCTAGACCGGAAACCCCACATATTCACAAGCGAAGCCATACGTTCAACGGCTTTCAGTATCGTCAGTGGAGCCGTTTTCACCTGGCGGCCTCTGACTTTGCTTAAACAACAACAGTGTATTTTGATTTTAATCAGCCTTACCCTGAGATCGTTGAAAAACACGAGAAAGCGTAAAAGCATGGTTTGACCTCATTTCACCCATACCTATTAGTAACCTGTAAAATGTACTTTGTAATGAGCTGGCTGAAAGATTGCGATCAACTTTGGGACTGCTTATGGTTTTTGATATTTTGATTTACGCTGGTGAGTCGAGTGCCAAAATTTGCGAAGTTTTGCCCCTCCCTTGTGCCGTCGAAGGCGATCGATTGCTGAGTGCCGGCCTGGTGGGCGCCCTCGGTTCCGTGCAGCCCGGGTGACGGCAGCCGTGTCCGGCGCCCTGTCCGCAGGGCATCTTCTGGCACATCACGTTCGAGCTGCCGCTGTACGTGGGCGGCGCGCGCGGCGTGGCGGGCCTCCAGCCTCGACTGGGCGTGGTCGGAGGCTACCGCGGCTGCATCCGGCTGCTGCAGATCAACGAGAGGAGCGTCGACTTCCGCCCCGCCCCAGCCGGACACGTCGGACACGGCTGGGACATCGGTGGGTCGGCGACGCAGCCGGGTCAGCGGCTGGGACACCGGTGGGTCGGCGACGCAGCCGGGTCGGCGACTGGGACACGGATGAGTCGGCGACGCAACCGGGTCGGCGATTGGGACACCGGTGGGTCGGCGACACAGCCAACCCTCCGGTGTCCCAGGGACGGGTCGTAACGACCCCGTCAGCACTGGAACGGCGCTGTGGTGTCGCGAGGGACCGCTGTGGCTAGCTGTTCGTCCTGGCCTGGGTTCTGGTACTGCTAAGAGCGACGCTGGACCAGGACCAGGAGCGAGCTGGAGCGTGGCTGGAAGAGGATTGGGACATGACTCGGAGATGGTTGCTTCTAGCCTGGAGCGAGGTGGAACAATACTAGTACAGCGATGGTTTATCATTAGAGCATGCGTTGGTCAAGACAAAGACTTCATGAACAGGAAGTCCCTCAAGGTTCTTTCATCTCCATGGAAACGAGGATGTCGAGCACGTCATCTCGTGTTTACTCTAACTCCACGCAAAGTAAACAGGACTCAATCGACCGTGCTTCGTGCTACAATGTTATGAGCACCCAATCGAGATGGGCTTGTCGTCAAGACGCCTGGAAGCCCCTCATTAATTTCTCATAGAGGAAGTGCGGGTCGGCGCTACCAGCTAGATCGGTTCAAGTTCACCGTCGCCATTAGTCAATCATACTGGCTGCTGAAAAGTTTCGCTGACATGTACTGTAAGGCGAGACAGAACTCAGAAAGCTCCGGCGGAGATCATCAATCACCTCCCGATTGACGAGGCAGGGCTCGCGCAACCGGCTGACACCGCCAATTACGCCTCGTGTTGTGTGGGAGAACCGGAGAAAGCCGGGGTCATCATCAATCACTGTGACGTTCCAAAACTTCATGCTCAGATTTAAAACGATTTAGCGCTGTGGATAGCTCGGGTCCAGCTGTCGACGACACGCGACTGACCACGGCCGAGCCAGTGGGATGAGCGTGGAACCTTGCAGGGTGTTTGGCTTCATCTGGTTTTGTTGTCTGTTTTTTTTTTTTGTTACTTGATGTAATGACCGCGCTTGCAGACATTTACCAAAACCTAAAATAACGCAGACTTCTTCCTACCCCGTGCGTCACGACAGCCAGGAGAGCACCATGCACATGGAGGCGCCGTGTGTTGGTGACCCGTGCCCTTTTCTGCCCGGCTGACCCGGCGCTGCCGTGCGTCCCCCCCCCCCCCCCCCAGGTGAGTGCGGCGGTGACCCGTGCCCTCTCCTGCCTTGCTGACCCGGCGCTGCCGTGCGCACCCCCAGGCGAGTGCGGCGGTGACCTGTGCAGCCGAACGCCGTGCGGCCACGGCGGCAGGTGCGTTTCAGCGCCGGACGGCTCGACCACCTGCCTCTGCCCGCTCGGCTACCTCGGCGAGCTCTGCGAGAAGTCCGTCGACCTGCAGGTGAGGGCCGCGTGGCACAGACTGCACCCTCCACGGACCTGGAGCCGGTCACTGAGCCGGAGGCCGCCGGTAGGGGCGTCACTGCAGTAGGTGAGGGCCGCGTGGCACAGACTGCACCCTCCACGGACCTGGCGCCGGTCGCTGCACCGGAGGTCGAGAGTAGGGGCGTCACTGCAGTAGGTGAGGGCCGAGCGGCACCGACTGCACCCTCCACGGACCTGGCGCCGGTCACTGCACCGGAGGTCGGCAGTAGGGGCGTCGCTGCAGTAGGTGAGGACCGAGCGACTACACCCTCCACGGACCTGGCGCCGGTCACTGCACCAGAGAGCTGCAGTAGGAGCGTCACTGCCCTTACAGGTGAACGGGCGTGTGGGCACTGAACGGCATGGTCTGTTGTGTTGTTGAAGGATCTCAATATTGCATGCACATCACATTCAAAATTGGTATCAACGCTGTGCAACCTATTTAATAAAGTTTCATTGGCGACACATTGGCACGTAACCGGATAATTCATCTGTCTTCCTGGCTGCGGCGATGGGAATGTTTAGTTTGGCCCTCATGCCATAGCATTGGGACTTTGCGACGCAATCAGCTGGTAAGACCTAAGGGTGTCACTACAGAGAATCGGAGCCCGCGCCTGTAAGACCTAATGGTGTCACTACAGAGAATCGGAGCCTGTGCCTGTAAGACCTAATGGTGTCACTACAGAGAATCGGAGCCCGTGCCTGTGGCTTCCAAAGCGCGCAGCTTGACTTTTACACCACTGGAACCCCGTCCTACTCGTGGAATGCAAGCCAAACTGTTCATCGACATTGATTGCCTTGGGTGAAATCGAAGCGCATCAGATGAAGCCGTCAGTGGTGCTATAGCCTGCCGTAACGCGATGTTTACGAGCGTCTCGTTGATCAGCAACTCTTTTCACATCGCAGCGCCATATCTCCAGTTTATAGGCACATTGATAGCAAACACCGCCAGCATACCAACGGTTCTGTTTAGCCGTAGCTGGTGCGGGACACACTACGAGACACACCCACCCTATAGACAGTTGACCGGACGTAATAAGGGGTGCCCGGACCCGTTCACGTCCGTTTGCTCTCTGCAGAACACGAAGGCGAGCTCGGCACGGCCGTAGCGTCGACCGCTCCAGCGCCGTGTTTTTCCTCTGGGGTGTTGAAGCATTCGAAACCAAGTTTGCGTGCATATTGTGTTAGTTTCAATTTATGTCTTCCGCAACTACGGGCATCAAGTGCTCTGATTGGATTCCAGGAGTTATTTGCAAAGTTTAACATGGTACACCGTGCTTCCCAATTTTCTGAACGACGCAGACGTTTGGATAATAAGTGAAGATCTTAAACGAAGACTGAGGTATTGAGAAAGTTGAGTCCAATTGAGCAGCGCGCACGTGAAAGTGGCGGCGGTCCAATAAATCGGACATCCATGTTAAGGCCCGGCATGTTTACAGCTCGGCTGATGTGATGATCTGGTCGACTGATGTGATGGTCTGGTCAGATGATGTGATGATCTGGTCGGCTGATGTGGTGGTCTGGTTGACTGATGTGATGGTCTGGTATCAGACATACAACGCAGTGATGACGCACTTCTGAAGAAGCGCAGAATCTCCTGGCTGCAGCGAAAATCGAGGAGCGCCTCGCGTTTAATGCGGCTTACCTTGTAGATCAGTTGAAGTTCGTGGGCATTAAGTACGGTTAGGCGGGGAGAGGGGGGGGGGGGGGCTGACTCTTTGGATACGACACTTTGTGGAAGCTTGGCTAGTTGAACAGTACAGGGAAGACCACCAGGTCGAGCACCACGCGCGCGATGGGCCTGAAGCGGATAACACGGGCTCTGTTCCGGACCGAACAGTCACAGGGCTGAAACTAAGGCGAGCCCACCAAGCGGAAGTGTTGGCATTGACAGCAGGGAGAATATAACGAGTTCTTCCTCCTACAGGCCCATGTCCACCAATTTTAGCCACTTAAGGCATTAGAGTGCGGCTACTTGCGGTGGAGGAGTGTGGTGAAACAACCGAGTCCAGTCATTTAGCTACGTAATTCATTAGCTTGAGCTGAAAAGCCACACAGCATCCAAAAACATGGTTGGACCTAATTAGCTGACATTCTGCCAGTAATACGCCGCCCCCGCAGTCTTCGAGCGCTTCACCAGGCTCGCAATCTAACGGTACGAAGTACGAGTTCCAAGATAGTCGTGACGTGTAACTCTAACTCTCACATGGAAAGGTCAGCTGGCAGCTGGGTACGCGAAGTCTCTGGTCCGGAGATTCAATCTATTAATCGATCGGTCGATCACATGGATCAGCCTATTTTGAGTGTTGGGTTTAGGGTAAACGTTACATATTCTGTTTCGTGATTACTCTGAGGTTTGAGCCCAAAACCACGAACGCAAGGTATTCAAAGTGCCCTGCGAACGGGAGTTACTCTTAGGGTAGAATGATACGTTGGTTTATGCAAATGCTCATCCCTCCAGCAGATTGAGGTTTCCATCAGGCGAGTCCAGTTAATTCAGTAAGAGCCCGCTCCGTTTCACAGGTGCCATCTTTTAACGGTTCGTCGCACCTGAAGTTCCCCGGACTGGGCACATCGGCGCTGTCCTACCTCGCGCTGGAGCTCACCATCAAACCGACGGGCTCGGACGGCATCGTGCTCTACAATGGATTGCACGACGACGGCCAGGGAGAGTTCATGGCCGTGAGCATGCGCGACGGACACGTCGAGTTCGCCTTCGACCTGGGCGCGGGCGTCACGTTCGTGCGGTGAGTAGGCGTGCATCAAGCCTCATGACTAGTCCTCACTCCGCGCCATTTCGCCGGAGCATCCCTGCCAGACACGACCCACCGCCGCACCGTCCCGGAAACGCGCTCGTGTGGTGTGCGGGCGACACTGGCCGTCCTTCCCCGTCCTTCGATCGCTAATCCCAGTGAAAACAGACGGATATTGAGTGCGCCTGCGGCCGGATGCAGGGCTCTACGCTCCCCAGGGGGCTGAGCTTCGATGTCGATCACGTACTCCCGTCATCGACCGGGACCCGAGCCGGGGTCACAGGCCCCGCGACCGGCGGGGGGGGGGGGGGGGCGCTGCCTGGCCGGGCGCGTGACTGGCAGTAACAGACCTCTCGCCGCCCCCTCTCCTTGCTGGAAATCGTACGTTGCGTGGTTAATAAATGCCGACATGTCCGACATGCTGGCAATAACAGGTGTCAGGCAGCACCACCTACGTAGTAGGAAAAGCGTAAATTTAAAACACATGCGGTGCGCACTTTAACTCTCGCGCAGCAGGAGCGACCTAGGAGAACCACACGACGCTTTCTGGAATGAGGTTTGGATAACTGAACAAGTGGTGCTGCAATTTTTGAGCAAATGGTTTTTGTAAAAGACTGTATAAAATGCTGTCAAATGCGGCTATGTCACGTTATGTAAGGTTTCACGACACATCTCGCCTTTTCAGTTACAACCATGGTGTGATAGTCTCTAACGTGACAGGTCCCATTCCTTGGTCGGCTGCACTTAGGGTGGGCCTAGGCGTGCAGAACACTATCGAAGGATTTGTGAAAATTACTAGTTCGTCGCCAATGATGCCTGTCGTGCTTTCCTTCCACTGTCAAAGCGAACTGTTCCACAAGTTAAAAAGGCATCATTCTCCAATTTAACCCTATTGCCTCCGTTGGAGACATCAAAGTTGTCTTGCACGGATGTCAAATGACACCAATCTGATGCATTTTGGTGTGAGCTACTTGATGGCCATGCTTGTCTGACAGAAGCGTCTTGAGTTTTCGAGATGGCCCGTGGGCCCTCAAGGCGATCTCGTCCGATGAATGTAAGAGAAGCGTCCAGCGATTTTCAAACACATACATTGTCTTACCTTACATAAGCGATTGGTCACTTTGATGAGCTCATGAAGTACAATTCCAAGCCCAGCGCAGATGCAAAGGTAGCTGCAGGGACCATAAGGCGTTCATAAGCAGCACAGTTGAAATGCTACGGATGTAGGTTGAAGCCTAGGAACTAAACTGGGACTAATTGACCTGAAATAAGCGCGGCAACGGGTCGTGTCCCGCAGTTTTGATAGTATAGCAGCGAGCCTGCAGCACGAAACAGCAGCATCAAAGGCTCGTTTCGACAGCAAGTAAACGCTTAACCGGAAACACTATACAGTGTCTTTACAGCCGGCTAAAATGACCATCGGTCAAACACGTCCTACAACGTAACATCATTCGGCCAGGCGCGACGCCAGGAGGCCGCTGGTGACCCGATAAATGCTTCCCCTCTGAACCCCACTCCGACAGCTTGGCTGACTGCGTTACCAGGCCACCTCTGTTGTGGGAGGAAACTCATGATTCACTGTCTGTCACATGCGCACGCGTACTTAAGTCTGGCTCGTGGGCTGCCGTTCGACATGCAAATGAGGCTGGCTAATGTTAGAATATGTCTTCGGAACGTCGATTCCACGACATCATTCCACGGTCGCTGGAAATATTAGTCAAAATATATCCTATGAAAAGGATATATTTTTTTTTGCAATTTGAAAATTCAAAATAGCTGAAAGCGGGTAAATTAATGATGCGGCGGTATGATGAGTTTTTGCGTTATGGCACCATGGACTCATCTCCTTTGTAACCCTGCATCGATACAAAGTTTTTCTTTTTCACCTTTTCACCGCGGTTTTATGCTTAATGTGGCATCTTATTAAACATAAAATTGTACAAACTCAGGAAACTCTGCTGAATTATGGATCTCCGTGTTGTTTGCTGTTTTATTTTTGGTGCCGTGACAAAAACCGGAAAACATAAGTTTTGATAATAACTGAGGAGTAAGCATTATGTAGAACTGACAGAAGATGCTCCTCAAATCACCCAAGAACAGGCCAATATTTAAGAACATGACTGATTAAACCCTTCGTGTGATCCAACCACGCCACATTGCCACAGAATGAGGATGGGCTGACAATACACGGGACTGTCATGTACAACTGTGTGCTTTTCCGGCGTTGACATATTTCTCAGGCAGTTGAAAAGAAAACCGGAATCAGCGCTGTGCATGCGTCGCCGGTTTGGCGGCGGTCGGCGTCACGTGACAGCCATGCCCGTCCACAGCACCACGCGGCCCGTGACGCTGCACACGTGGCACGAGGTGCACGTGAGCCGCACGGGCCGCGAGGCCGTGCTGAAGGTGGACGACCAGCCGGCCGTGGTGGGCCGCAGCCACGGCGGCTTCACGCAGCTGACGTTGCCCCAGAACCTGTTCCTGGGCGGTGTGGCGAACTACAACGCCGTCTCCAGCGCGCTCTTCCTCAAGGACGGCTTTCAGGGCTGCGTTCAGAAGGTATGGTGCCCTGTGCCTGCATCTTTTAGAATTGTTGTACCATCTGTCATAAGAATTGTCCTGCTTTGCATCATGTATGGTGTGGGCCCCACGATACCTCTTGAACACACGCGGTCTTTCGTGAGCTGTCGAAGACAGGAGCAGGAAAACAATAAAGCAGGTTATTTGTACTCAGGAACGACTGCCAGTCTAGCCAGACTTTTTCGTCGCGTCACAATCTTCGAGCGGTACGCCTTGGGACGGGCATGTCCTCCAGCGATCGTGTCGTATCTGCCGCCGGCGGAGCAGGGTAGCGTGGTTAATCACCCAGCGGCTCGGGCTCCAGCCCCACAAGCGGGCCCAATCAGATGAGTTGGCAGCGTGTCGAGGAAGGCTCGCCGTGGTCCGGCACCGCGAGCGGCGGCCCCATAGGGCAGCGAACGACCCCGAGTCGGCCCTTTTGTCCCCAATCCTGAGGAGGATCTGTCTTTTAAACTGGAAGTGTTCTTCTCGTATGGAGCACTCCTGGCTGAACTGACGTAGAATCAACGAGCATCCTTCTCAGCCATCTAGGAAGTTAAAAAGATTAACAATTCTTGTCACGAATAAATGTGACAGTGACGGCAGCCGTGCAGGAGCGTGCCAAAGGTTGGGAAGGTCTAGCTCCTGATTGAAGTTGATTCATGTCTTGCATGGCCATGCACCATGGGGTCCAGCGTTAACTTCCACATAAAGGGAACGACCTTTATTTTCTTGCCCCCCCCCCCCCCTCTCTCTCTCTATCTCTCCCTCTCCTCCCCTTGCGGCGCCCACGCCGTAATGACCGTAATGGGTTTCACAGACATAAAAGTCACCAGACTGAGTGAGCTCAAACGCTGAGCCTCGGCGTGTCGTGACGGGCTTAAAGGTCATGCGATAATGCCGGCAGCAGTTCAGGACCTTATGACGCATCGGTTCTTCGAATGGTGTGGTGAATGCCATACACCTTCGTTGAGCGGTAGCAATAGCGTGGGCATTCATACTGGTGTCGGTGCTGTGGTTTTAGTAATGCTGCTGCTGTTGAGCTGGTCACGTGGGCGGTTGCAGCGTTCGTATTGCTGGCATTGCTAGTGAACCGATGCTTTGCTCGTGTTGAAGGACCCCGGACAGGCTGCGCCCGTCGCCCTGATGACCACCCGTACCCCCACCACAGCTGGTCATCAACGACAAGCCGGTGCACGTGCTGGCGGCGGCGCTCTCCGGCTACAACGTGGCCAACTGCGCGCACCCGTGCGTGACGCGGCCGTGCGGCGCGGCCGGCACGTGCGAGCCGCGCGGGCAGTCGTACCGCTGCCAGTGCCGGCTGGGCAACAGCGGGCCCCGCTGCCGCCGGCCGCTGCCGGCGCCCCACGTGCCCCGCTTTGCAGGCCACAGCCACCTGGTGTTCGACCGACCCGACGTGGCTGAGAAGTGAGCGCCATCTGGACAGGGGCTGCCGACGCATGGCGGCGCGCCGCTGTCGTGCTGAGATGGGTCGGAATAGAGATCAACGACAGGCAGACCAGTGCAGTGGTGAAATGGGATTTTGCTGGTTGTTCTTGGAAATACATGGTGTGGACTTCAGGGATGAGAAAGATAGACAAACGGTCTACCGGTTATGCGTTTCATTTGACATTTAACAATCATCCCCATGGTCCCAGCACCGGACAAGTTCGGAGACTTCTGGAAACATGGAATTACAGCTAGTCTGAATTTAATGTAGAAACTCGATATCTCCCTAAGCACAACTCACACCCACTGTGTGCGTTGCACTTACCCCTGAGACTGCGAAGGTCAACCACTAAGCTCCCCTGTTGCCCTACGGACCGGACGGGCCGCGCTCACCCCCCAGCGCTATCGCCGCAGGTTGCGAGGCGTCACAAACGGCATCGAGCTGGAGTTCCGCACGCGCTACCCCAACGGCCTGCTCGTGTGGACGGGCGCCTCGGACCGGTGGACGGCCGACTTCCTGGCGGTGGGCCTGCGCGACGGCCACGTCCACCTGCGCTTCGACCTGGGCAGCGGCATGGTCACGGTGGAGCACAACGCCAGCCGCGTGGACGACGGCCAGTGGCACCGCGTGCAGGCGTCGCGGTGAGCCGACCCGCCTCGTACTCCTGCACTAGCTTCCGTACCCGTACCTACACATGTAGCTCTACTGTGCCGGCGGTTTCTGCGGGCAGATTCTGTACCGGCGAAAAGGGTACGTAAGGCGTATATATAGCGTATATGAGGGCATATAGTCTTCAAATCCTTCTTCAGAAGTCAACTCTGCCGCTTAGCGAAGCAAGCCCACAGCCACATGTAACGGACTACGAGTTGAGTCAGATAGCGTCATTCACGGATGCTGCAAGAAAAGTCGCACATACGTCAAATGTCAACTTTCTGTCCTAAAATATCAGTTTACTCTATCCGCCTGCGACGAATGTAGGTCAACGCAACTTACGTAAGAAAAATGCGTACGTTCTTCTCACGTAGAAAGACGAATTAAATAAGCTATATTTAAGGAGATGCAAATGAATGCCCGGTGGACCAATTTATGCCTAAGGCAGGCAGTTTCCCGAAAATTTATTTCTGCTGTTTTGTGCTGTAAAAGACGATAATTCAGAAATGCGCACCGTAGCAGGCATCACAAAAATTATTATGCACCGATGAGTATTGGTATTGATCGATGAATATGCAGCAAACAGTCATACCATCAGTTTGCAGTCGGTCACGGAGGAGACAGCTGGTCCAGGGCAGTGGATGCCGACGCTGGACGGGAACAGAGCTCAGGACAAGGCATGTTAGAAAGAAAAGGCCCCGTGCTGTGACCTTCTTTTACAGGAGAAATTCCGGCTTTCTGGCTTGTATCACCTTCTTTTAGGCATGAAGCATTTGAAGTTTCAAAATTTATTTCTGCCTTGTTTGCCGCGACCAAAGCTTGCCCCTTGTAAAGCAGTCGGCAAAATTCAAGCTCAGGAAAACTTTACTGCATTATGGGTCATGGATCCGAGCTCAAAATTCTACCGGGCTTCCAAGCAGAATCCCTTTAACATTCTGAGCCTTCCCTCACACACTTTTGAAAACATTCCTTCGTTTATAAATTCTCCCACCATTTCCACCCCACGCTTGAAGATTTACCGCGTGATGTCGCTCGACGAGTGTGTGCTGACGTCCGCAGGGTGGGTCGGGACGGCGTCATCTCGGTGACGAGTGTGTGCTGACGTCCGCAGGGTGGGTCGGGACGGTGTCATCTCGGTGACGAGTGTGTGCTGACGCCCGCAGGGTGGGTCGGGAGGGCGCCATCTCGGTGATGAGTGTGTGCTGACGTCCGTAGGATGGGTCGGGAGGGCGTCATCTCGTGATGAGTGTGTGCTGACGTCCGCAGGGTGGGTCGGGACGGCGTCATCTCAGTGGACGGCGGTTACCCGGTGAGCGGCGTATCGCCCGGACTCCTCAGTCAGCTGGACACAGACGGACGCCTCCTCATTGGTGAGAGAGCTAGGGGCGGCTGCTCACCTTCAGCCCCGGGTTCAACTGCGCTCGGCAGGATCCCGCAGTCCGCACCAGAACCAGTCGTTACACCCTAGGGACAAGCTGTGATAGGTACCGGGGCCAACAACATTATAAAGGGTGGGTGTCAGTTGCAAAGGCATTGAGTACAAACACTTCGTGCAGGTTTTTAAGTTTTTGCTTTGTATGCAGTGGCATAGAAACTGCAATAACTGATCGAACAGTAAACTTACGATCATCCAGCCCTCTCTTGCCGCCTTGTCATCACTGTGATTAAATACGTCACATCATGCTTTGTGATTGTATGGTGGTGGGTTCCGACGCAAGTGACTATGTGTAGTTACTTGTCTGTCCGGCAGGTGGCACCAGTGAGCTGGAGTACGTTACTCACGGCCTGTATTCGACTGGTCTGGACGGCTGCGTAGCCGAGGTCATTATCGCCCCCGACCACATCATGGATCTGACGTCATCCGATGATGGGCGTAACATCGGCTTCTGCCTATGAGCGTCAGCTTCGGGCACCACTTGGCGTCATGGCGTCATGCTGACTGCACCGCATCATCCAGAGACGAAAACAACCTTTAATTCTGTCCACAACTGACCGCGATCACCACCCGACGCCATCCTGACGCTGTGTGACGATGGATGCCATTTTGCAAGGTCATGCGACGCACGAGCTCGGCCATAAACTGACGTCACTAATGTCATAACTGATAGCTGTGAGCCGACACACCAGCGCAGTGATGCCACTTTGGGCCGGGCAGAGACTGGGTCTGGAAGAGATTCGGCACCTTCGAGGTTCTCCGACAAGAGTGGTTTCTCTGATTATGTGCCGGGTCATGCCTTTCGTCGGGCACGCGCGGGCGTGGAGTAGGGTGGGCCGAAATGTCACCTCCGAACTACAATGATTTCTATGATAGGATCCTCCCAACTTGGGAAATTGGGAAAAAATTGTACCAGCTTTGAGCTTCCCTGGGTATTATTTGGATATGCAATCAACTGTCCAACAGACACAGAAACTTGGACTGATATTGGAACCTCAAAGGGATGAACTTGCTTCAGTAGTTTCGGTTCGCTATTTTTCACAAGACATCCGGGAAGAGGTCGCTTCTAAGGCTTTCAAATTTATAAAATCTCAAACTGCAGGGTTTGATTCCAAAGTCGCCACAGTGGAGGCCTTGAGGACTACCGCAATGGACTGCGCTACACTGGACCATGAACCTTCCCACTGCACACCTGTCGCACACTTCATCCCAATCAGCGGAAGTGACGCGCGGGATGCCCGCCTGATCAGCAATAGAGAGCGGGGTGCCGGCCGACCGAGCCGCCACCGCCGCCGTCGCCGCCCGGCCCTCACCGCAGCAGCAATAGGCAGAAAGGCTGCCCCGACGCGGGCGTGCCGGGCTTCAACACCTCCGCCATAGACGTGCAGTGCACGCAGTGTTCACTGTTCGACAGCCTGCACTCGGTGTTAGATTGGCTCGCGGGTGCGTGTGCGTGACCGCGGGCGCGTGCGAGCGCGGGCAGTGTGGCCGCTACACGCGTGTCGGCGGCGACCCGTCGCCTCGCGCTGGAGAGTGCCGGGGCCCGGGCAGTCTCTGCGTCGGTGGTGACCCGTCGCCTGGTGCTGGAGAGTGCCGGGGCCCGGGCAGTCTCTGTGTCGGTGGTGACCCGTCGCCTGGCGTTGGAGAGTGCCGGGGCCCGGGCAGTCTCTGTGTCGGTGGTGACCCGTCGCCTGGCGTTGGAGAGTGCCGGGGCCCGAGCAGTCTCTGTGTCGGTGGTGACCCGTCGCCTGGTGCCGGAGAGTGCCGGGGCCCGGGCAGAACCCGTGCGTAGCGGTGTCAGTCAACATATCACGGCAGCACGAGCGCCTGACTGGCCTGCCCATGTACCCACCCCGTTCGTGTGCGACTGCACCCGCTACCCGCCCCGCCAGTCCGGGGCTGGCACTGCCGTAGTGTCGCGTGTATTTTTTATACCGCCTTACGACGTCTGGGTGAGGTCCCCAGCCGGGTCCGCGAACGAGGAGGGCGTGTAGGGACGCACCGTTAGTAGCTGGGCGACGCTGGATCTGTGAATAAACGGTGGAATCTTGGCTGGACTGGTGTGGAACGATGGGCTTTGCTCGTGTTTGGTTAACTCGCGAGCTTTTCGGGTATGATGGTGATTAACACGTCCTTTATGCTCTGTAACGTACGGGGAGCGTACCTCATGCTAATTTTTGTTCACGTTGTTTACTTGGAACACAATCTGAAATTTGTATATTCTTATAGTAAAATATAAGTGCACCCATATATAAAATTTATTTTGATTTACCTTTAATTTGGTTACTCACCTTCACATGCTGCAGGGCTAAGTGTTGGATAAAGTTAATGTCTTGTATTGAAGTGGAAAGGCAGGGTATGGTCATTCACAAATTGAATTCATCGTGACAAGTCAAAAATGTGCTCTTTATATGTGGTATGATAGGTGAAAGCAAAGTGCCGGCAAACGGTTAGGTCATCTGCAGCTTTTCGAAGTGCCTAAAATTATTAAGTATTGGGCAATGCATGACCTTTCGCGGTAAACTGAGCCATCGCCAGGTAGGGTGACGCTCCGTCATCTAACAATGCGTGCTCATTGCGTGATAACGTAAATGCATGAAAGCGTGGTGCCACTATTGTCACTTAATTTATTTTGTGGGCCAGCATATCATGGCGCTATGGTTCGTTAGCATGTCAGTTTGTTTTCTGAGGTAATTTGGGGCTTTAAAATTGCAATACACTTCCAATCACGTAAGATGTAAAGAGTCCCCGATCAGCCCGATTCCTGAAGTTGATCGGACCGCGGTGCGTTTTCGCTTTGATCCAGGATTCAGGACGCTGACCACCGCGGGACTTACACGTCAACAACGCGCGCCGCAAAAGAATAATACCTATTGAGCTGGTCGAACGTTTTTGCCGGCTGCAGCTGGTGTGTTCGGCAGTAGTATGCTGGCGGTCGGGTCAATCGGCTTAGGGTGTATGCTAGGCGGGTGTATGCTACCATGCTGAGTAACCTGCGACCGGACCACGCGCCACTCCACATCGTCCAGTATACACGCTGCAGCGACCGCCGCTGCGCAGGCTGCCACTGAGGGCGCTGGTGCTGGGGTATGCAGTGGCTTTACGCTAAAGACGGACGCGTACGCTCTGAGACAATGGGAGCAGGAGCTGCGGACCGGGCTGCTGTCTGTCTAGGAGCTGCGGACCGGGCTGCTGTCTGTCTAGGAGCTGCGGACCGGGCTGCTGTCTGTCTGGACGCTGCGGACCGGGCTGCTGTCTGTCTAGGAGCTGCGGACCGGGCTGCTGTCTGTCTAGGAGCTGCGGACCGGGCTGCTGTCTGTCTAGGAGCTGCGGACCGGGCTGCTGTCTGTCTAGGAGCTGCAGACCGGACTGCTGTCTGTCTAGGAGCTGCGGACCGGGCTGCTGCCTGTCTAGGAGTTGCAGACCGGGCTGCTGCCTGTCTAGGAGCTGCGGACCGGGCTGCTGTCTGTCTAGGAGCTGCGGACCGGGCTGCTGTCTGTCTAGGAGCTGCGGACCGGGCTGCTGTCTGTCTAGGAGCTGCGGACCGGGCTGACGTCTGTCTAGGAGCTGCGGACCGGGCTGCTGTCTGTCTAGGAGCTGCGGACCGGGCTGCTGTCTGTCTTCTCGCTGAACAGTCGGGGTAACCAAGTAAGCACGTGCCCGCTAAGCGCCGCTTACCGCTCCAGCCAGATAGCGCCGAGTCGACGACACCGCAGCAGTTGGCCGAGTCCCTCGAGCCGGCGACACGGGAGCTCACTGACGTTCGTAGCGGCGTGTTATCGGGAGGCTACGGGTAACTCCACGGGACCGCAGCCGAGCGTCAGGAGGCCGGCCGGCACCGACGGTGACGTCCGCGCCTGCCAGCGCCCCTTGCGGCGACTGAGGGTACTACAACCTCCCGCGGTCAATCCGACTGCGTCTACGCCTCCGTGCGGCTGGTATTCGACGACCAGGTGTCTAGGAAGGAAGTGGTTATAAAGCTGAACATGGTCTTGGAGTGTTGCGTGCATTTACTTAGGTTTTGATGGCTACGAAAGCACTCAGGGAGCCTTGCTCTGCAGACAATGGATAAAGGAAGTGGCGTTTATATTTGAAAAGTTGCGCTTCGACATTTTGAGCGCTTCGGCAAAATTAACTCTTATGTTTTGGTTGCAACCAAGGGCGTGTGCAGAATTTTACGTTTGGAAGGGGGTGAAAGTTAACCATTTGTCTGAAAAACGAGTTCGGCGCGCCATAGCGCGCGCACTTTGTTGCATGTCATAAAGGAGCAAGGTGTGTTCTCCATCTCCCTATTTTACATGTCTACCAGAATTTTTCACTCAAAACCAATACTTTGTTGCGCGCTGTGAAAGAACATGATGACTTTTCGATCTCTTATTTTACAAGTCTACAGCGAAAACTTTCACCGTAAACGAGTAGTCACGTACATATCAATATATGCCATATATCTAGCGTGGGCAGGCAGGTGTCGCGGAGTGTGCCTGCTATGTGCGTACGCCCCTGGTTGCAGCAAAGACAAGACAGGAATATTTGATAACGAAAATATTATTAGGAAGTCCAGACCATTACCTTCTCAAGTAAAGTTTCATTTTTTTACAAACGTCATGTTCGACGTCTCCTGATGGCAAGAGTGTCTAGGAAGTTTTAATGTCCCCAGGGGCTGTACGCTTGGTTTCACCTAACTGCCAATTGGGACGTTTTGTTGCGGAAAATTTGCACAACCTTGGGAGCAGACCGCTGATTTAAATTTGGCTTGTGGAAAGTCACGAGTTTGGTAAGGTGTCTTCTTTCAGCAAACCACCCCAATGATGCTCCCGTCTTCATCCAAGATTGTGTCATATATGTATATATATATATATATATATATGTAGTTATATACACATGTGCATATGTGCGCATATATATATATATATATATATATATATATATATATATATATATATATATATATATATATATATATATATGGATCATCACCTTGTCACCATTGGTGTTTGGAAGCGTGCGTAAACCCTTTGACTGCTCTACATGTTCTCTACACAACTGCAAGGCTGAAATGAATCTGTACAATATATTCTGACACACTTGTGTCAACAACGGATGTTTTTTTACCATACTTTCCAAGTACAACTCCTCTAAAATCGGTCGTGATATGCTGCGATGCATGCCTTACAGTGCATCAGTCATCTTCACATTTTTCAGCTTCGCTGAACGCCGACGACATCTCGCGTATCAGCGCCCGGCTCCAGTATTCTGTCCGGCTCTCCGCGCCCCGGAGGGTGGACCCAGACCCGAGTCACGTGGCCGCGGGCCAATCATTTCGCACCGCGCAGGGGCACGCTCTGGCGCGTCGCACAGGTCACGCTAAAGACAAGAAATTTGTCGATCGAAAAGTAGAAAGTTAAATTGCTTTCAATGAAAAAACTACATAGTTACTCTCGACTATGGGAGCAGCCAGGCATGCATGCATCGAACAAACTCAATAAGCTCTTCAGAGGAATCTTGTTTGATCCTCAGATGACGCAAAGGGCGATGACTGGCAGGACAAGGCTATGTTTGACGTGTTTCTGGTGTTCGCAACTCAATTAATGGTGTTCCGCTCTGCTTGGGTGCCATTTTTGGTATGGGCGATCTATGAAAATGGTCTAGTCTACCCGAAAACTGCCGCGGTTCGAGCCACGATTGCCCTCTTGTTGGTTATGGTCGAGCGCACTACGATAGCGTTATGGTGCATGTGTGCGGAACGAATCACAGAAGGCGCTAAACAGCTGCGTGAAGGTGCACCTGAGCATTTTGGCATCCTCTGTATACAAAGAAATGTTTCTATAGTTCAGCCCGATAGCATATATGCAAAGATAAACCCAGATTGTGATGATCGTTTATCTTTAATATTTTGGTAGGCCTGGCGGCCAAATAAGTCTCGACGAGTAAGGTCTGCAGCGGTTCTTGCATGCGCGAGATTTTTCAATCAGCGAGCTATATTGCAAGCCGGAAACCTGCTGGGCATTAAAGATCCCCATGCATGACAAGAAATCTACTCACCAGCTCTAAAAGTATGTCAATCTCAAAAAAGCTAAGATTTCGGATTTTGCGGAAATGACATGTCGGACTAAAGCTCAAACTTCGCTGAGGCAGTAGTTCGGGCTAACGAGGGATAAGCTAAGGGATACGTCTGGTAGGGGATAGGCTTTCTGGCTTTTGGCAACCCGTCATTCTTGACGAGACGTCTTTCGCACCAAGGTAGCCATAAAGTAACCATAAGGTTTCGCACCATAAGGTTTTCCATTGTAATAGCGCGCCAAAACTCGTTTTGAGGCGTCTTAACTTCTGAGAAATCCGTACATAATGGGCAGGAAACAGAAAATATTCCTCTTTGTCATCCTTCGTTTCCAAATAAGTGATGGTCTGTCACCCAACATATCTATTCAGTTATGTGACAGTGCGGAACATTTGCTCTGTATGCTTATTTGTTGGTTTGTAAACAGGACAGATGAAGCTCATACATCACAGCAGCTCTTTTAACTGAGACGACGCCCGAAAAACAAAATGCATGCAGCATGTATTTGGAAAGACAAAACTTGCATAGGAAGGAGCGGCAAAATGAAAAATGCACGTGCAAATTGCGTGCAGGTCTTGCCGCGCCTTTGACGTCTCCAGGCTTGCTGTCTGAGGTGCCAATGAGAGGAGAGGGCCAAGAAGCCGACACGAGAGTGAGCCCAGTCGGGAGGCCCCCAAGCCTCCATCAGCCGCCAAACACCAGCTGACCTTTCAATTCCATCTCGCATGTAACGGGGCACTTCGCAGCGCGCGCCAGATTCCCAGGGCGATGCTCGCAACGGCAAATGGAGCCGAAAACGTCCGGTGTAATGGCGGCCGACCCAGGTTCCTGTCCGGGGACGGCCGACGGCGCGCCGGCGGCGTCTGTTGCCCGGCGCACAGCCGCCGTCCGCAACTAATAAGCGCCGTCAGAGCTGCGCCGACCGCGCCGGAGCCGCGTGGGGTGGCGTTATGGGAGGCGCTAATGAGCCGGTCGCTGGCAGCAGTGTAGCCT